CTTGCCGGTTTGGTGTGAACATATCAAGTATTTCGCGCTGCTGCTGTTCAGCCATGATGGGTTGTGCTGGGAGAAATGTTACCTTAGTCAATCGCGAGGCGATAGACGGTCTGATCGTGCGACAGATCCAGTCAGTGTCGCAGTCGGGTGTATGCCCATCAGGGCGCGAGTTAATGTGTCCGCTTTTGGATATATTGTAATTTTGGCATAGTTAGGTCGAGTCAGAAAGATAGGCGCGGTCGGTAAGAAGGGACGTAAATGTATTAGACAGGCTAGTGTAGCCATGCGAAAAGGTAGGAAAAGCAACAGAAGGAAACGGACGGACTGACAGACGGACGGACAGTTACAAGGTTAGAGAGCGGGAAACTAGCGTCTGGGCGTCCGCTTGAGGACGCTAGGGCATGCTTGGCTGGTGTAGAGAGCTGACCACCTCCGCTGCGCTGCGGTGGGCTTAGCTGGTTTAACTCAAAGCAACATAAAATATATATTCCGTGTTCTACTTATGTTATGATCCAAAACAACACCGCACACAATATCCTGAGTGCTCACATATTATGGTAGACATGACCAGGGTTTAACGTGATCTGCAAGATGAGCACCATCTTACCCGGGAGGTTTCGTCTATAGTCTCATTTGAGCGCATAGCTCCCACAATGACGCCAATCGGAGGCGCGCGTGGTTGCAAATGTAATATATGCTGTTCAGAAGACGGGTCAGTATCCATGATGCTACGGAATTGGCATAGATCGGTGAGGAATCCTAGTTTGGGGGTCTAAATACGCCTCCTCAAACATAATACCATATGTCACGTCATCGCGGTGAGGCAGTCGACACCATATCTTTGATTGCGACGGTCTATTAGAGCAAGGTTTGGTCAGCCTTCCGCGCGAAGTATCTTTTAAGACAGTTTTTTTTGTGCTAATGATCGCCACAAACAATAATATTATGCTTTGCAACAGTTCCGCTGAGCTCTTTATGATAATACTGTAGCGTCTTTCCACTATTTTCCGCATGCATTGATCTTACTTGCATAGCTGACACACTTACTGACTTATTTGCATAGCTACTAACTGACAGAGTGGTGTAACTCTTTTCCGAGTGGCATTTACTGGCTCCGATATGTATGACGAACATACGAAGCCACATGGAGGTAGGCAGATTATCATATCGTAGTGGTGTTAAGACGTGACTCGAATAGTAGTTCATGTACATTAGGTGACGTACTTCCGCTGCCAACTTATCAGCTCGGTGTGATGTATCCGTGCATATATTGCGAGGTCGTTAGTGAGTGTATATCACGCGCTCGTGATATCTAAATCCTATGTATAGGATCACTGTCGCTTTCTCGGTACATTTGCGTCGTCGTGCTGGCTTACTGTGCCTACGCTTCTGATGTATCAGTCTATATGACCAAGCAGGTCACTAACTGGTCACAGGCCATACTACAGCGATACTGGCAAGCTGACCGCGCGTCTGTCACCTGTATTCAGCGCAGTATCTACGCGCGCGGCGGGTACACCTTATAGCCACCCGCGACTAAGCCGAGCTCTTATCTCGACCATTATGGACAGGGCACTAAAGTAAAGTACTGCGTACAGACAGTTCGACTTACCACACCCACCGGTATTGTTTGCGCTACCGCACACGTGCTCGTATCTATTTAGACAGCAACTTAATCGTCGCGTGTAGTGCTCACTCGATGCTGTAGTTTCAATTTGTGAGCGCACATTAATGGAACATACGCCGTGAGCGCTGATGTCACAGATAGCATGGTTTGCATGTATCCAAGTGAGCGAGTGTACTCTCGATCTATTGTTACGCGGAAGCAGATAGGGACGGTCAGCTTGCAAGGGTTCGCAGTTGACACCATGCGCTAATTATTATTTGAAACGCGCTACCCTCTGTAGATGCGTCAACACTATTGTCCGTTACCGTATGTTCGGCTTCAAGCCTCGTACCGTCACCAGTATACTAAATACAAAGATAGGTAGGAAAATGGGGGCCTAAAAGGGTATATTTATCAATTACTTGCTCTTCTGCTGCTTCTTTTGCTCGATGTACTTGGCGTTTCGGGCGGTCAGCTTGCGAGGGCGGCTACGCCTCTTTTTCTTCTCGGGGTACCAGTCAGGGCCCATCGCCTTCTTGACGTTTGACAGGCTTTCTTGGCGGCGCACTTCGGCCGAATCAGGAGGTGGGGGCTTTTCCTCCCAAAACTCAACCGCTTTTGGGCAGTTCTCGCAGACAATACAGCGCCGCACGATGTCCCGCCCGCTGATTGTACGGAATGCGTAGCCGTACTGCAGCGTCCCGCAGCAGACGCAGCGCGCCCGGGAATCCGTCGTAGACCGCTGCGGGTTCAGCAGTTGCAGGCCAATATTGGCCTTGCACGTGGGCCTCGCCATGTTGCAAACTGTGAAGGAAATTTTATAATTACTAACGTGCGTAAAAATATTAGGTATTCTAACGGATACTTACTGCTGGGTGTTTAATATTTAGCAAAATATTAAATAGTATTATTATATCATAAACATGATATTATTTTAACCAATAAAGTACGTCAAAATATTTAGCCAATACACGGCCATTTAATGCCGGTACTCATTATTACACAAAAAAAGTTTTATTTTAGTTTTGGCAATCGCTTAAATAATGATATTATTATTTTTAAACAATCATACTTTTCAGCAATAACAACACCACCACCTCGCAGGACGCGGCAATGAGCTCCCCTGCCCACCGACTGTGTGCTCATTGAGCACACAGAGCACTGCTCAACACGGTGTAGGAAACACGGTACTGCGATAAAGAACTTAGAA